CAGCGCAAGTGAAGTTAGACACTGTGGTCAGACAACATGCAGTAATTTATAAATGTTTTAAATCAGGTTGGGTCCGGACCCGCTCCACGTTCCGCTAATCCTTGACATCTGAGTTAGAGGATCAACTTCAGCTTTTTCCTCCAGTAAAAGTGTAAAATTACCATTTTTAAAACTACTTAAAATATAAAAAATAAAAGTAATGCAGGAAAAAATGTTAAGGACAGAAGCTTTTCTATTTCCTATTAACCCTTTATAGGAAAGGTTACCATTTTTGTCACTTGAGTTTTTTTATATATATATATATATGGCAAGTGGCCATTTTTTATTTCATTGACCTTCATTTTTGCCGTCAAAATATACCATCTTGTCCTCCAATAACACACCTGGCTGGAAATTTAGATTTTCAAAGTATTTCAATGAGTCTCCTTTAATTGGTAAAATGACGATTTTTCTACAATTCTGGATGATAACTTCCTTAAACTTCATTTTCTTAGTTTTATAACTAATGATAACAGTGTCAGATTTAACTACAGCATCTTGAAAAACTATTTTGGTATGTGGTGAACAACAAGTTGGGGCAGCACCCAATCAAACCATAAAGTAAGGAATTGACAGGATTAAACAAATTATTTGATGGTTTTTATTTATTTATTTATTTATTTTTATACCAACAGGCCATAATGAACATGAGCTTAAATGACACTAAACTAATGAGTCTATTTTTAAAATGTAAGGAGTAGAAATAAAAAGTTGTCTACAAAATAATTACTCCATTAAAGTACAGATAGCCAACATGTGTACTTGTTGAAGTATTTGTACTTTGTTTCTTGACACCTCTGTTAGTTACAGACACTGACTATTTACTGGAGCTGTTCTATTTGTGTGTTGGTTCATGATTTAAGGTGGTCCAGGTGTGTTGGGACAACCAGCTCTATGATGCTGTGATCTATATTTTCAACCGAGGAATGAACGACTACATCACTCCAATGGAGGTAATTAAAAGTTAGTAAATGCTGAGTAATCAATGGTACTTTGAAGTTTGTTCTACACTACAAAAAAGTTCTAAAAAATGAGTAAAAATGTCGTAAATTAAGTGTTTTTACCCTTAATTTGAGCAGGTACATAAGATAATCTGCTAATGGAATGAGCAGTTTTACTCTTAAAATACGTATGAAATTAGATAATTAGATATTGTGCACTTAAAATAAGAGACTACAGTAGCTTTTTTCTTGTTTTAAATGTAACTTGCCTTAATCCATTGGCAAAGTGTATCACTTAACTGCTTAATTCAAGAAAAAACTGCTCTTATTTAAGAAAAATAAACTTACTTTCAGTTTTTTGCAGTTTACATTTCATCACATTACTGCCTTCTTCTCTTACATCTGCACCTTCAGCCTCACCATTTTATTTTAGGGAATAAAATGCCGTGTGTCCTGAAGTGTTTGTTTCGTATTTCAGAAACTCTTTTCAGTGATTGGTCCTAGAGTCAAAGAGGGGAGGAGCCTAACAGGTGAGGTCGGGCAGCACATCTGCACTGAAGCCTGGGTCTTTTTTCTGGTAAATATTTAGCCCCAAATAGAAATTGAAAACGTTTTATTCTTTTGCTGCAGGCGATGATGTGGTGATGGGGAATAAACTACTGGTTTACATCAGGTAACTCCTCCTGATGCAGAAGTCTAAGAGCTTAGATGCCTCAATGTGCTGTGATGTTGGTCACATTTAGTATCCTGATCGATAAACATCTCTCTGCTCATATTTCTGGATGCAGCTGCTGTCTGGCTGGAAGGGCGTATCCAATCGGAGACATCCCTGAAGATCTGGTTGTTCAGGTGAAGAACCAGGTAAGGAGCTCCATCAGGTCACTTTTCTGTTTAGGTCCAGATGAAAACATTGAGTGGATCTGTCATTGAACATTGGGCTGTTTGGTCGGTCTGATTTTGTCCCACTTTAGTCGAATAATAGACGCTAAAAGACGTCACAAACCCAGTTTTTAACGTCTTTTCAACGATCTGAAAATCACGGCTTTTCACCTTTCACTTTTCAACTGAATGTACTTGTCGTTTGAATGCAAATCGTGTCATCTTTTCAATCGATTTCTGCTCGGTGGGTAGTACCTCAAATATCCATGTTAGGTCATAACGAGTTTTTCTCCTTCCTGCTCTGTGCGGGATTCATTCCCCAGAAATACGATGCATGATTACCACTTATGCTGATGATATATAGCTTTATCCTCCATCACAGTCCAGCTGATCCCAGTCAGTGGAGATTCTGCTTAAGCTTTTGGTACTGATCAGATCATGGATGGAGCTCAACTTTATTTGGTTAAATAATATAATGGCATCCTTATCTGGTAAGGATGCAGTGGTGTTATCAGACCTGTTAGGATTATTATCAATAATGATGTGTGAGTTTATTACACCCTAATATTATCTGCCTGTTGTCTGTCAGAACTAATGTTTTCCCCAGTAGTTTATCTAATCAGGACAGTTCCTGTGCCAGTATATACAGTTATCATCTTCATTATGAACATTGCAAAGATCTGGGAATGGAATGCGAGCGGCGTCTTCGATCTAAGAACATGGTGTAATGTTTTGATAAGCCTGGAGTCATGGATGTCTCCTCATCTGTTAAGATGTGATGATGCGGCAGCCTGGAGTTGTATAAAATGCTTCTTTAAGTTCTCTGATCTGAGTAAGATTATAATTTCTGTCATAATCTGTTGTCCTGTCTCCTGGTTATTTAATACATAAACAAGTGTCATTTAACAAGTTTGTCTTGAGTGATCTCTTCTCAGGAAAGAATTGGGGAGAGAAAGCTTTAAGGTTTATAAACACAGCTTTTACTAACAGACCAAAGGAGCCTTCTGCCTGTCTATCTGCAGGAAGACATCTCCCAGACATTTTTCAGCTGTGGCTCCGAGGATCTATTGTGTCTTTAGATCATTTTAAAGTCGTAGGTAAATCATATTTTAATGTCAAATCATTCTGGCTTAAACATGTATATAAATGTACTCTTTATCAGACGATATTGTCCCAAAATTTAGAAAATTTCTATAAAAAAATAAAACCCTTTCTTAAAATGTTGTGGGTTTTTTATTTCGTTATTTTATCCAGGCCAGTTAGTTATATGTCAGCCTGAACACCTAAATTCGGCCAATCATATATCCACGGTCATCTGTCAATCAAATTTTTTCAGTCATAACATCTTGATTCATATGTCGCAGCTAATATACGCAACGGTTGAAATAAGGAATCAGAATCATTTCCTTTCCCATTGAGTTCCGTCCCAGTGTTCACGGGGATGGACGTCTGTGGCCCCGTCCACACGAAGTCAAACCCTGGCCTAAACGCACAAATTTTTCACCAAACCAGCCTCTCATCCATATGAAGCCGGCGTTTCGGGGGTCTGTAAACGATCTTTTTTTTATTAAGCCTTCAGAGTGGGAAGAAGCTCTAACCGCATTTTTTTCTAACACGCATGCGTCATAGCGTCGCCTCTAAACACGCATGCGC